CAAGAATTCCCTCATGCATGTCTTGAATTCACCTTAATTTTGTGAAATCATCAAATTTCATAATGTTTTGTAGCATTTGACCATGTTTTGAGAAGATTGAGTTTAAAGGAATTCATGCATGTCATGCTCATGAAACACCCACAAATTTCAAGTTGAATTTTGTAAAATTGGCAAGCTTTTGAGCCATGATTTCTTGAATTGATCTTTAATTCATGTTGTTTTAAGAGTTTTCATGTACTTCCTCAAGTTTTGGCTCATAAAGAATCAAGTTTTGAAGCTTTGAGTTTAAGTTTTGAGCTTGGAGATCAAATCTGGAAATTCCAGAATTTGCATCCACGCTCGAGCGTAGGAACCCACGCTCGAGTGACCACTCTGAGTGTGTGCACTTCTGTTCGAGTGACTTGAAGTACGCTCGAGCGTGAAATGAAAGCCCTAAGAAGTTCATGTGTTTTGCAACACGCTCGAGCGAGGGTCTGAGTCTCACGCTCGAGCAGGGATCCAGCGTTCGTCGAGCGTGAAAATCAAGCAACCAATACTTTTTCAAAGTTTACAGTCCGCTCGAGCGAAGAACTTTATGCTTGAGTGAACCTTCACATTTTGCATGTCTGCTCGAGCGAGGAAAGACACGCTCGACCGTGGACAGACACGCTCGACCGTGGACCCTGTTTTCAGCAAGTTTCGAAAAATGTTTTCAAGTGAATTGTTACATCCTTATTCCATCCTAGGCATTCCTAGGCCATGATTAAGACATTATAATGAGGATAAGGGTGAGAAACACACATAGGACATGAAGATGTGTTATGTATGAATTTGAGCATGTGTTTCAATATATGTCTCTGTCATGTTATGTAGGTCATGCGCCACCAGTTAAGTGAATTACCTATTTTACTCGTTTACTTGGAGCCATCTGTTAACTGTGAGGAATACCTCTATAAAGCTACGTTTAATTACAAGTATTTTCTGATTGATATGATACGATCTGTTTTCTGAAATGCTATTTTATGAATTTTAAATAAATGTTCATTTTTCTGAAATATAATTGTGGCACCCTCAGTTCACGTGGCTCTCGCCCGGGGGTAACAATACCGTGGCCAATATGCATGTGGCCTTCGCCCAGGGGTAACAATACTATGGCTTATATTCATGTGGCCCTTGCCCGGGGTTAACAATACTGAGGCCTATATTCACGTGGCCCTTGCCCGGGGGTAACAATACCATGGCTACTTGCGCGCAAGATATGGACCCTTATGGTCGTTGTTACCGACTATACATGTGGGTCTCAGGACCAAGTTGATATGATAGCTAATGGGTGTACCATATATAATTTTATGCAAAAATCTGAATATGAATATGAGCATGTATCTAAATCCAATTCCGATTTGAAATCTGATTATGCATAAGACTCTGATTTCGAACTCTGTAATGGGCATCATTCATTAAAACCATTTACCTTGTTGTTATTCACTGGGCTTCCGCTCACTATTTATTTGTATATATGTAGGTGAACAAGAGCGTGACCAGGCCTAAGTTGCTACCTGGCGAGTTTTGGTGTTAGCCAGCCATCATGTCTCCTGTGGAGGTTCCCTTTTGAGATCTGCTCAAGTTTTGTGTCCTTGGGACTTTGTGCTTTCTAAATGCTTATGTCTGGTCTGAACACGTTTGAAAACTTTGTATAAGTGGCTTGGGTGACGTAAGGTTCTTTCATTTCAACTCATTTTGAGCCTATTCAAAGTAAGAAAACGTGGGAGAGTAAAAGTAGGGAGAAATTGAGCTCAAACCAAGAAATTGTTAGAAATTGTTAGCATTTGAAGAAGATTTGAGAGTTTCAACTTCAACCATTGTGAATTCAAGTCTCTAGGTATGGGATCAAACTCTTAGCTATGTAATTGGGTTAGATCTTACAAGACTTCTAGTGAATTAAATGAATTCATGAGGGAATTGGGTTAGGAACAAAGAGTGTTAAACCATACCATGCTTGCATGCATATTTCTCACATTTTGAGTTGAATTTTCAAGAATTCCCTCATGCATGTCTTGAATTCACCTTAATTTTGTGAAATCATCAAATTTCATAATGTTTTGTAGCATTTGACCATGTTTTGAGAAGATTGAGTTTAAAGGAATTCATGCATGTCATGCTCATGAAACACCCACAAATTTCAAGTTGAATTTTGTACAATTGGCAAGCTTTTGAGCCATGATTTCTTGAATTGATCTTTAATTCATGTTGTTTTAAGAGTTTTCATGTACTTCCTCAAGTTTTGGCTCATAAAGAATCAAGTTTTGAAGCTTTGAGTTTAAGTTTTGAGCTTGGAGATCAAATCTGGAAATTCCAGAATTTGCATCCACGCTCGAGCGTAGGAACCCACGCTCGAGTGACCACTCTGAGTGTGTGCACTTCTGTTCGAGTGACTTGAAGTACGCTCGAGCGTGAAATGAAAGCCCTAAGAAGTTCATGTGTTTTGCAACACGCTCGAGCGAGGGTCTGAGTCTCACGCTCGAGCAGGGATCCAGCGTTCGTCGAGCGTGAAAATCAAGCAACCAATACTTTTTCAAAGTTTACAGTCCGCTCGAGCGAAGAACTTTATGCTTGAGTGAACCTTCACATTTTGCATGTCTGCTCGAGCGAGGAAAGACACGCTCGACCGTGGACAGACACGCTCGACCGTGGACCCTGTTTTCAGCAAGTTTCGAAAAATGTTTTCAAGTGAATTGTTACATCCTTATTCCATCCTAGGCATTCCTAGGCCATGATTAAGACATTATAATGAGGATAAGGGTGAGAAACACACATAGGACATGAAGATGTGTTATGTATGAATTTGAGCATGTGTTTCAATATATGTCTCTGTCATGTTATGTAGGTCATGCGCCACCAGTTAAGTGAATTACCTATTTTACTCGTTTACTTGGAGCCATCTGTTAACTGTGAGGAATACCTCTATAAAGCTACGTTTAATTACAAGTATTTTCTGATTGATATGATACGATCTGTTTTCTGAAATGCTATTTTATGAATTTTAAATAAATGTTCATTTTTCTGAAATATAATTGTGGCACCCTCAGTTCACGTGGCTCTCGCCCGGGGGTAACAATACCGTGGCCAATATGCATGTGGCCTTCGCCCAGGGGTAACAATACTATGGCTTATATTCATGTGGCCCTTGCCCGGGGTTAACAATACTGAGGCCTATATTCACGTGGCCCTTGCCCGGGGGTAACAATACCATGGCTACTTGCGCGCAAGATATGGACCCTTATGGTCGTTGTTACCGACTATACATGTGGGTCTCAGGACCAAGTTGATATGATAGCTAATGGGTGTACCATATATAATTTTATGCAAAAATCTGAATATGAATATGAGCATGTATCTAAATCCAATTCCGATTTGAAATCTGATTATGCATAAGACTCTGATTTCGAACTCTGTAATGGGCATCATTCATTAAAACCATTTACCTTGTTGTTATTCACTGGGCTTCCGCTCACTATTTATTTGTATATATGTAGGTGAACAAGAGCGTGACCAGGCCTAAGTTGCTACCTGGCGAGTTTTGGTGTTAGCCAGCCATCATGTCTCCTGTGGAGGTTCCCTTTTGAGATCTGCTCAAGTTTTGTGTCCTTGGGACTTTGTGCTTTCTAAATGCTTATGTCTGGTCTGAACACGTTTGAAAACTTTGTATAAGTGGCTTGGGTGACGTAAGGCTAACGTATTTTCCATGCCACATCTATATGTATATGTATATAAGTTAGTTTGAAAATTTCCTATTCCATGTATGTCTACACGGCTCTATGGACTATGTATGTTTAGTATATTTGTTTTTGCATCCCCTGTTTATATGTTATTCTGTTTAGAGGCCTTTGGTAATCCAATGATTACTGGTCGGTTACGATGCTAAACCTATAAGGCGGGTTTAGGTCGTGACAGAGTGGTATCAGAGCACGAGTTATACCACACACACGAGTCTGTATGAGCTATAGGATATTCTAGTAAGAAATAGGGGCATCTCATCAACGTGTATGTAAGTGGATTCATTAAAAATGAAAATTGGAATTGATCATGAACACATGGCATTCAAATGAATGTTTTGAACATTATGATAATGACTATTTGCCTATGTTTATAGCCCTTCTATTTCCCCTATAGTAACATGGAGAATGCAATGGGAAACGATGTAAGTGAATCTTTAGAGGCTCGCATGAGCCGAATGGAACAGATGCTGGCGACATTGACTGAAGCTATGATGCAATAGCAAAGACAACAACCTTACCTCACCCACCTTCGCCAGTGCTAGCCGAACTGGACAATAATGACATTATCAATTTGACTCAGAAATTTATGAAAATGAAACTGCCGACCTTCTTGGGTGGTATTGAACCATTGAAGGCAGAAACCTGGTTACTAGAAATGAAAAGTTATTTGAAGTGTTCCCTTACTCTGCAACTCAGAAAGTCCTTTTGGCTACTTACACCCTAAAGGATGAAGCCCGGAGATGGTGGCTGTTGGTTCAAAATAACAATGGGGACATGACATGGGCACAATTCAATGAGATATTCTACAACAAGTACTTTCCCCAATGCTTCAGGGACCGAAAAGTTTCTGAATTTCAAGAACTCAAACAAGGCAGAATGTCTGTGGCCGAATATGAAGCTAAGTTTACTGAATTAGCTCGTTTTGCTCCACACATGGTAGACACTGATTACAAGAAACCGCGAAAGTTTGAGGGAGGATTGGACCTGGAAGTATTTGATCGAGTAGGTGTCTTAAAATTGCCTACTTATGTAGAAATGCTCGATAGGGCATTGATGGCCGAAGCTATAATAGCAGTTAAGAAACAAACTACAACTCCAACAACTGAATGGAAAGAAAAACGGGCTGGATTTAATTTCACGGAGGGCCGATCATTTTCGAAGAAGCAAAATACAGGATCTTCCAGTAGCTCTAGTCAAAGTAGCAGATCTATTCCAAACTGCCCCGACCGCAGGAGGAAGCACAAAGGTGCATGTTACCGTGCATCAGGTGCGTGTTTTCGATGTGGCAAGACTGGCCACATGGTTAGGAATTGCCCGATGAGATTCGATGAGGTTAGCTGTCCTGTGGCAAGTTCAGCCGGGTCTGTTTCTGCAGCAAGATCAAATGTAAGAACCAATGCTAGAGGTGACACTAACCATAAAACATTGAGGCAATGGAGAGTGTTCGCACTAGTACCTGGAGATGCACAGAACACTGAGTCTGTGGTGTCAGGTATAATTTCCATTTATGCTCAAAATGCATATGTCTTGATAGATTCTGGTTCTACACACTCGTTTGTGTCGCATGCCTTTTTTCGAAAACTAACTAAACCTTTAGAAACCATGAATTATTCTTTGTCTGTATCTACGCCATCTGGGGGTTCTATGGTATGTGCATATGTATATCCGGCATGTGATGTTTTGATTGATGGTATGACGTTATACATTGATTTGCTGCCTTTAAGTATTGACCACTTTCATTGCATCTTGGGTATGGAGTGGTTGACTAAATACTATGCTACTATTGACTGTGCAAGTAAATCTATTGTGTTTAGATCATCGGGTATGCCTGAATTTATTTTTACTGGAACTGGGGTAGTTCCTGCCCCATACTTGATTTCGGCCATGAAAGCTGTTAAATTGTTTAGGAATGGATGTAGGGGCTACTTCTGTTGTATACTGACTACATCATCTGATAGTACTAATGTGGAAACTATTCTTGTTGCTTATGAATTTCCTAACGTGTTTCCGAATGACTTGCCTGGAGATTTAGTTGATAGAGAAATTGAATTCACCATTGAAGTAATTCTAGAAACACAACCTATTTCCAAGACCCCCTATAGAATGTCAACCTTAGAATTGAAAGAATTAAAAACTCAACTTCAGGAACTGCTAAACAAGAAATTCATCCGTCCGAGCACTTCACATTGGGGTGCTCCAGTCCTGTTTGTCAAAAAGAAACATGGATCTTTGAGGTTATGTATAGACTATCGGGAATTGAATAAAGTAACTATCAAGAACAAATACCCTCTACCCCGAATAGATGACTTGTTTGATCAACTTCAGGGAGCCCGAGTGTTTTCCAAGATTGACTTCAGATCTGGGTATCACCAGTTAAAAGTAGGGGCAGAAGACATAGAGAAAACTGTATTCAGAACTAGATATGGACATTATGAATTTTTAATAATGTCGTTTGGGGTGACTAATGCAGCTGCTGCTTTTATGGACCTAATGAACAGAGTTTTCAAACAATATCTCGATGAATTTATCATTGTGTTTATTGATGACATCTTGATTTATTCTAAAGACAAGGAAGAACATGAGAATCATTTGAGAATTACGTTGTAGATTCTGAGAGAAAAGAAATTGTATGCAAAATTGTCCAAGTGCGAATTCTGGCTTGACAGTGTGGCATTTTTTGGGTATGTAATCAACAAGGATGGTATATCTGTTGACCCTCAGAAAATTGAAGCTATTGTAGACTAGCCTAAACCGACGAATGTGATAGAAGTTAGAAGTTTTCTGCGACTAGCAGGTTACTATAGAAGATTTGTGAAAGACTTTTCCAAACTTGCCATGCCTTTGACCCAGTTAACTCAGAAAAGTGTGTCATTTGATTGGAACGAACAAAAAGAGTCGTCCTTCCAAGAATTGAAGATTAGATTAGTAACTGCACCGATTTTGACCCTGCCCAATGGTACTGATGGATTTCAGATTTATAGTGATGCTTCCTACAAAGGTTTGTGGTGTGTGCTAATGCAAAATGGTAAGGTAATTGCTTATGCTTCTCGACAATTTCGACCACATGAAAAGAATTACCCAACTCATGATCTTGAACTAGCAACTGTAGTGTTTGCCTTGAAAATTTGGCGATATTATCTGTATGGAGCTACTTATGAAGTGTATACGGACCACAAAAGCCTCAAATAGCTCTTCACTAAAAAAGAACTGAATATGAGACAAAGGAGATGGTTAGAGTTGATCAAAGACTATGATTTGCAAATTTTGTATCACCGAAGGAAAGCTAATACTGTAGCGGATGCCTTGAGCCGAAAATCCATTGGGAATTTGTCATGTTTGCTCACTGACTAGAGGGAATTGTTATGTGACTTGGAAAAAAACAAAATTGAGATTGTGATGCGTGAACATGGTGGAATCTTATCTGCCATTTTCGTTCAACCTGTAATCATTGAAGAAATCAAACGGAAGCAACTTGAAGATGAGTACTTGAAAAAGATTGTGGAAGAATTTGACTCAAAACCGAGGCCGAGGTTTGTGTTTGAGAATAATGTGTTGAAATTCCAAAATATACTCTGTGTGCCAAATTCCTCTGATTTAAGAAAACGTATTATAACCGAAGCTCATAGCACCAAATTTACCATGCATCCAGGGGAACACAAAGATGTATCATGATTTGAGACAGAATTTTTGGTGGCCTGGAATGAAAAAGTGCATTGCAGATTTTGTGGCTAGATGTTTACATTGTCAACAAGTTAAAGCCAAACATCAACGACCCGCTGGTTTGTTACAGCCGCTTCCAATAATGAAATGAAAATGGGAGCACATTACCATGGACTTCATTGTGGGATTGCCTCGCTCTGCCCGAGGTATGGATTCTATTTGGGTCATTGCGGATCGTTTAACTGAGTCTGTTCATTTTCTACCTGTTAAATCTATTTACAATGCTGACAAATTGGCCAATATTTATATGAATGATATTGTGAGATTGCATGGAGTGCCAGTATCTATTGTATCTGACAGGGATTCAAAGTTTGTGTCAAGATTTTAGCAGAGTTTGCAACAGGCTTTGGGGACAGAACTGAAGTTGAGTAGCGCCTATCACCCACAGACAGATGGTCAAATAGAACGAATGAATCAAACTCTAGAAGACATGTTAAGGATGTGTGTGTTAGATTTCCACGGAAGTTGGGAGACCTATTTACCATTGGCCGAATTCGTGTATAACAACAGTTATCATTCAAGTATTGAGATGGCTCCTTATGAGGCTTTGCATGAAAGGAAATGTCATTCTCCAATCTGTTGGGCTGAAGTAGGTGACAGGCCATTGTTGGGCCCAGAACTTGTGCAAGAAATGGCTGAGAAAGTGAACCTAATTCAGCAACGCCTAAAAACTGTACAAAGCCATCAAAAAAGTTATGCTGATGTCCGAAGAAGAGACAGGGAATATGAAGTTGGTGATCATGTATTTACCAAAGTAACTCCGATGAAAGGCCAGACACGGTTTGGTGTAAAAGGAAAGTTGGCACTGAGATACACCGGGCCATATGAAATCCTTGAGAAGATCAATTCGGTAACATATCGGGTAGCCTTACCACCAGTTATGGAACATATACATAATGTCTTTCATGTCTCGGTGTTGCGAAATTATTTGAGAGATCCACTACATATGATTGAGCCAACTCACGTGCTTTTAAACGATGATTATACATACGAAGAGCAGCCAATTCAAATTGTCAACCAAAGAATCAAAAGACTAAGGAACAAAGAAGTCCCATTAGTGAAGGTTGATTGGCAGAATCATGGAGGAACCTATGCAACCTGGGAAACGGAAGAAGACATGATGAAGAGATATCATGATTTATTTCCCTTGGATCCAATGTTCTTCCAAAATGAAGGTAATTCGAGTTTGGAGGACCAAACCCTTTAAGGAGGGAAGACTGTAACAACCCCGACCCAAGATTAACGATAATCCATGATTTAATATGCCTAATAAGATACTAAGATCAGACTTTGAATTAATTGCATATGTGGTGCATTACTTGTGTTTCTATCTGTTTGTTGTAGGAATATCTGTTTGAGATTCTACTATATTTTGCGAATTGAAGGCCTTATCGGCATCCGATTCAGAAATTGACTTGATTTATGTGTTGATTAGAATTTTTAGAACTTTATGGTAGATTCAATTGAAATTCGATTTGGAACAATTAAATTAGTTTGACTTAATGTCCATTTATTTGACCTCAATTAATTACACTTTATCCAAACCTATATTAAGCACCAATTGAGCCCCCACTCATCTATTTTCTTTCATTTCAACTCATTGTGAGCCTATTCAAAGTAAGAAAACATGGGAGAGGGAGAGTAGGGAGAAATTGAGCTCAAACCAAGAAATTGTTAGGAATTGTTGGCATTTGAAGAAGATTTGAGAGTTTCAACTTCAACCATTGTGAATTCAAGTCTCTAAGTATGGGATCAAACTCTTAGCTATGTAATTGGGTTAGATCTTACAAGACTTCGAGTGAATTAAATGAATTCATGAGGGAATTGGGTAAGAAAAGAAGAGTGTTAAACCATACCATGCATACATGCACATTTCTCACATTTTGAGTTAAATTTCCAAGAATTCCCTCATGTATGTCTTGAATTCACCTTAATTTTGTGAAATCATCAAATTTCATAATGTTTTGTAGCATTTGACCATGTTTTGAGAAGATTGAGTTTAAAGGAATTCATGCATGTCATGTTCATGAAACACCCACAAATTTCAAGTTGAATTTTGTACAATTGGCAAGCTTTTGAGCCATGATTTCTTGAATTGATCTTTAATTCATGTTGTTTTAAGAGTTTTCATGTACTTCCTCAAGTTTTGGCTCATAAAGAATCAAGTTTTGAAGCTTTGAGTTTAAGTTTTGAGCTTGGAGATCAAATCTGAAAATTTCAGAATTTGCATCCACGCTCGAGCGTAGGAACCCACGCTCGAGCGACCACTCGGAGTGCATGCACTTCCGCTCGAGCGATCTGAAGTACGCTCGAGCGTGAAATGCAAGCCCTCAGAAGTTCATGTGTTTTGCAGCATGCTCGAGCGACAGAAACCACGCTCGAGCGAGGGTCTGAGTCTTACGCTCGAGCAGGGATCGAGCGTCCGTCGAGCATGAAAATCAAGCAACCAGTACTTTTTCGAAGTTTACAGTCTGCTTGAGCGAAGAAAGTTACGCTTGAGCGAACCTTCACATTTTGCATATCCGCTCGAGCGAGGAAAGACACGCTCAAGCATGGACCCTATTTTCAGCAAGTTTTGAAAAATATTTTCAAGTGCATTGTTACATCCTCATTCCATCCTAGGCATTCCTTGGCCATGATTAAGACACTATAATGAGGATAAGGATGAGAAACACACTTAGGACATGAAGATGTGTTATGTGTGAATTCAAGCATGTGTTTCAATATATGCCTCTGTCATGTTATGTAGGTCACGTACCGCCAGTTAAGTGAATTACCTACTCTACTCGTTTACTTGGAGCCATCTGTTAACTGTGAGTAATAACTCTGTAAAGTTATGTTTAATTACAGGTATTTTCTGATTGATATGATACGATCTATTTTCTGAAATGTAATTGTGGTACCCTCAGTTCACGTGGCCCTCGCCCGGGGGTAACAATACCGTGGCCAATATGCATGTGGCCCTCGCCCAAGGGTAACAATACTGTGGCTTATATTCACGTGGCCCTTGCCTGGGGGTAACAATACCGAGGCCTATATTCACGTGGCCCTTGCCTGGGGATAACAATACCATGGCTACTTGCGCGCAAGAAATGGACCCTTATGGTCGTCAGTACCGACTATACATGTGGGTCTCAGGACCAAGTTGATATGATAGCTAATGGGTGTACCACGTATAATTTTATGCAAAAATCTGAATATGAATATGAGCATGTATCTGAGTCCAATTCCGATTTGAAATCTGATTATGCATAAGACTCTGATTTCTAACTCTGTGATGGGCATCATTTATTAAAACCCTTTACCTTGTTATTATTCACTGGGCTTCCGCTCACTATTTA